CAGAATCAATCCACCATCTTTCACCGCCATTAAGCATGTTTATGTCAGATAACATTGCCACAAAGGGCTCCTTGGTTAAGTTGACCTATGGAGTAGGCCCACGCTTCCGGAATTTGCAAACTCTAGCAAAATGCCCAAGCTTGCCATTAAAACGAAAAGGCATGTTAAGATCATTAGTGAGCTTAAAAGGTTTTTCATGAGGTAAACTCATTTTTTTAAAGAATTTTTCTTTCGAATCGTCCTAAAATTGTTGTTCCTCATAAAATAAATAGAAGAAAAAATAGACAAAAGATTAGCAAAAAAAAATTAATTAAATATGAAAAATAAAAAGTAAAAAGATGTCACCGAAAGTATGAGGAGCTTGAGCTGAGGCGTGGATCAATCACTCTCTTTAAGACATTTCGAGCCACTGGTGCAGCAGATTTTTATGGTTACGCTACCCCCAGGATACAACAGCCCAACCTCCTTGTTGTATCTTTACAAGTACTGCACTTTTGTAAAGAAATCTCTACCCCACCACCTTTTCCTTGCCCAAAGAGAGTTTGAATGTTGTGTTTTTAGAATAGGAGTGCAGATTATGAAAAAAAAAAAATCAAGCTTTGGTACAAACGGAGGTTGCCTTTTTTATAGGCGTTCCCAAATTATAACTGAAGTAGACAAAATATTAAATTTGAAAAATGAAGGTTTTTTTTTTTTCTTCCGGTTATCAAACAAGATTTGAAACTGATGTTTATTGCTTTAAAACATTTGAAAAGCAGAAACGCATAGTCCTTTCAATAAGACAAAAACGCATGGGTTCTTTCTTGAAAACAAAAAACGCATGGATTCAAGAAACCGATGAAACGGAAAAAATTCTTTAAATAAATGGCTGTTACCATTTGATTCCTTCATTAAAATATAAGCTTGTAACTGATGAGTTATTTGATAGATTTAAATTTTTGAAAGCAATGGATTTGTAACCAATTGAAGTTGCAAAACGGTTTGCAATTTTTTTTTTTAATTAAAATCTATAACATAAGTCTCAACGGGTGGCCCCTTTTTTGGCTTCCAAATCGTTCAGGTTAGGTTTGTATTTAGAGTTAGTCTTCTATAAGAAATGTTTTTGAAATGATCTATTTGGTCTTATTTATAGGGACTTTAGTTAAGTGGACGCCTGTTATTTGTTTGCACTTATATTGTTAAGACTAGCTGTAATGGGAGGAGTATTTTTTATATTTCATATTAGTGGTTAAATACAAGGAAATTTATTTTATTAATATATAGTTGATTAATTTCAGATTAAATGTAAATTTACCTTAAAACTCATATATTTAATTTTCACATGATATTAAAATTTAAATTCTGTTTTTGGAAGCCCGAAGTTTCATGACAGATCAGCCGCCCTTCAATAGAGAAAGGCATATCAAACTCATTTGTTAGCTTGAGATACACATAACAGATCTGATCTGTATGTGAAGACTAAAAAGGGCCTCTTAAGTTTGTAGTTTGAGATCCGTGTGATATGATTCGAAGTTAATATTAAACTAGTTTGTGAAAATGACGTGTTAAGCGAAAAAATTTTATATTAAAAAATAATACACAAATATGTATAATAAATACTACTTTTAATATTATTAATTAATTTGGACTTAGATATAAGTTTTATATTGGAACTCATTTGCTTAAATTTTACACAAATAAGAATTTTTTGCTGATTAAAAACAAAAAAGAAGACTACATTAAAAAAAAAAATTCGCTCTTCAACTCGGGCGAGGACAGGTAACCCAGCAGTAGGGGCAATTATTATAACAAAACCATTTTTTGCCAGCCAATCCGCTACCTGATTAGCTGATCTAGGAACATAAACAAAGCGATATGATACAAAAGCAGCACGTTCAATAAGTATTCGCAATCTATTACCAAAAAAAAAAAAAATAATAAATAAGTATTCAAAATCAATAGGTCTTCAAAATCGTGCGCTTAGAATTAAAATGAGGAAGCCCAGGATCTGGATGTGGTGATGGCCGCCCATAATTTTGTCAAGATTATCTAAAAATTATTTAATTAGATTAATATTTTATTTGTTTATA